ATGCTGTCACACCATGCCCATCTCATGTGACACACACCTCTGTTACCAGAGTACGTATGACCCCGTTACACTCTCCCCCATTAAGATTGAGAACATTTACAGCTCCAATCGATTATTGCCTCAACGAGGCTTGCGTGTCCGCTGGACGCTACAACTTGGTTTGTTGGAACAAAACAACTTCCGAGCTCAATGAGCCCAGGGTCAACGACACTGAAGTCACCAAGCCTCGCTGGTTCTGACAGCGAACACTCGCAGAGCCCAACTTCGTCTCCCGCACGCGGTGCGATGTCGGACGGTGCGTCCGCGGCACCGGGGGATGTACATCCTAGGCTCGATGGGCACGAGCGTCGAGCTTCGCGCACGCTGACAATGACGAGTGACTCGTTGAGGATGTGGAGGTGGTCGACTACGAGTCTGACACTCCTTTTCCCGCGTGGGATGACGAGGAAGTCGAGCCGCGTCAGCGACGTGATACGAGCCCTGCTCGCGCCTTGCGGACTCCATGTCCGTTTCCTGACTTCTCGTCACCTGACGGATGTGGTGTAATCACCAATGACCGCGATGGGACACAGAGGCGGCAGCTGGAAGCTGCCCGTAAAGCGGCTCTGATGCGCGCCCATCCACGGCCGGTCATTGACCCTTTGTGTGGAATTTGGCTTCCGCCCGGCAGATCCCGCTGTGGAAGTGAAGGACGCGGTAACTCGATCGTTACGCGTCCCCATCATCGATCTCCCGGGCATAACGGAACTTGAGCTTACCGAACGGAAAGCTCTTCGAGCTCGTTTCTTGGTTACACAAGAGTTTCTGTTGGAAGCTTATCGCACTCTTCTACGTGCTCAACGAGGTGGCTCTCGTGTACCCGCAATGCGGACGATACCTTTAGTGCTCGCCCCTGGCAAAAGCGCTACAGATGACGAAGCGCTCTTTGCGCAATGTGTACAACGGCACCGGAAGCTTTCCTCACTGTATAACTTACAATTTCCACAAGGAAGTGGACGTGCGTGTGGAGCGACACCTCCGATTTGAGTTTGCCAAACTTAAGGCACGCCGTCGACTAGCTCGGATTGTCGCCCTATGACGTATGGGTCAACCCCTAACGCACCCGCAAGCTCTGTGTCTGCGGTCGCAAGAGCTCAGAGCCACTGCTTGAGATCAGCTCGTGGCCCTTCTACTTCCCAGGCTATTGCCGGGAAGCGCGGGACGTCCTGATCTTTCTGACCAAAAACCTCCACGGCGATTGTTCAATCTTGCCAAAGTGGCGTCTCAAACTCCCACGAGCTTTCGGAGTCGGGATATCCCCGCCACTTCACAAGATATTGGGTTTGACCCTGGTGACGACGTCGTCTCACTAGACGCTCCACGTCATAGTGGACGTCACCGTTCTCGTCGAGAAGAGTCGGTGGTGGGTGGGGACGACCGGGTCGACCGCCATCCGGTGACTCGCGATGCTCTTCGAGCCCTTGAGAACGAGGTCTTTCGTGATCGGAGCCTGCTGAGCGTCATGCTGAAGTAGCATATCGCTGTGCGGACGCTCTTGACGATTTCAAGCACATCGTGCGCTGGCTGCCTCACCTTGAGGACTACGTCGTTCTGTCGGAGCGACTCCTAGCCGTAGAGCAGGCGAATGTGTCGCTGCATGCAACGGTGGGGCGTTTGGCTCCATTGGAGATGGAAGTTGTTGCACTCCGTGCTCAGATCCATCTGCTGGGTGGCCGAGGGCCCGTGGGATCCGCTCTGACGCCAACGCTTCCGCGTTCACATGCACCGGATCCCGATACGGCTTGAGCAAACCCACGTAAAACACCGGGTGGATGTTCATCCGTTTTGGGAGTGTTTAGCGTATACTCTAGGCCCCGCTTGGCGACAACTTAAACGGTCCGATAAACCGTGGACGAAGCTTCGTCCGGAAGATAGCAGAAGATGCATGTGTAGGAAGGTTTTTAGAATTTAATAAAACCAGGTCTCCGACCTTAAAGCTTTCCAATTTGCCTCTTTCTTTTTCATCTGCATTTTCTTTCTGCAGGTCCTGGCTTTCAGCCATCACATCGCGAACGTGTCGTAGGACACTCAGTCTGGTAGACAAGGAGTCATCGACTTCTTTGCGGATGGTGAGGGGGCTGACGTCAGCGAGCCGTTCAGAAATTCTTCCTTCACCAAGCCCAGAGACATGGGATGGCGGCGTCAGCGGGACACGAGGTTAACCAGCCCGTTTATTTCTCATCGTCATACGTCACACAAACATAACGATGAACACACTCACAACAGGGTGTAGAACGGCGTGTAGCCGGTAGACAAATGCACTGCATTGTTCAGCGCAAACTCTACG